TCCCATTGTGACAAACTGGTTATTTCCCCAAGCAAATCAATACTAGAGGAGTAAGATTAAGAGTGGTTGGTGGCAATAATGGAATTCTATTTTGTGATTTCTAATTGTATGATGGTTGTTGTTAAGTTTTGTTCAGTTTCCTTTCACATGAGATGTTAATACATCATTCTTAGATGTTTTAGACTAGAAATCAAGTTTCTGAAATTTTGACATTTTTAAGGAAGTTTTGGTTTACTTACTGTTTGTGACAGAGCTTTTGAAGACATTGCATTAGGAACTAAGTTTAAGGAAGATAACTTTCTGAAAAAGTGTGCTTTGGGTTGATCTTCCCAATTATAATCTTACTGAGAAGATGAGCTGCTTTTGTCATGGCTGCTCTATAACTGAGAATTTCTCTATGTTCTTTTTCCACAGATACTTGACAACTCAGTGAACTTTCTAACAGTATTTAAAAAAAGGTTATACTGTGGGTGGCAGTAACTTTGTATTTATTTAGGTATAATACAAATGTTGTATTGATTATATTTCATACTGCTTTAAAAAATTTTAGTATGGCAGTCTAGTTAGCTATGAGAGTTTTCCAGTATTCGTATTGTTACATGAACAGCTGTGGATTTGAATTGTATTGAAGATAACTAGTTTTGAATGGAACTCTTCATGTTGTAGTTAGATTAATAACCGTGGACTGTGTGTAAAGTTGGGGGGGGGGGGCGAGTACTCATGGTATTAGGCATATTAAACAAGCTGTCTTTTCACTACGAAATTTTGAAAAAATGCAGAAGTGTTCATTTGTAGATTTCAAAGCTAAGTAAGGCAGTCTACAAATAGTGTTTCTGCTGTGGAGAAGGAAATGTATTTTCAACAGCTTAATTTGCAAACACAAATAGAAGCTGAGGGAAGGCAAGGTGAGTCACTGACTCACCTCTAGTTGTCAGGCTTTGTGGTTTTATTTCCATTTGAAGGGTGGAGTGGGATAGCTTTTTAAAAAAAAATAAACTGGAAAACAAGTAATAGGTATTCTTCTAATGATCAAAGTATCATGATTTTACTGATTTGGGCCATTAATATTGCTAGGTAACACCCAAAGCTCCAGAGGCATAAACTCTGTGCATTACTATATGGAGGAGGCAAAAATATTGTGCAGCTGAATTTTAAGGTTGTTCTTTTTCTCTCAAGATGTGGCTGGTTTGTGCTGGTGCACTACCAGTTCCTCTCTTACTCTGTACAAACCTTCATGTTCCAGAGGTTCTTAAACCTTTCTCTTTTGACAGAAGTTCTGTGCTTGATATTTGCCATGATTAAGGTTTTAAAGCAAAGACTGATGGGGCAAAATGGAAGGAGATGCTTTTTTAGTCCTGTACCATGATGTACTTAAACTCTCTCTGGTCTTCTGTTTGTTGCCCAAAAAATCTGTGACTTTGGTTCCATCACCTTTGATACAGTCTTGTCACTTGAGAAAGCTTTATTGCAGGAGCACTTGTGGAAAAATGGAAGGTTATGTTAGTTTTCTCTATTTACATAATGAAGTCTCAAAGAAAAATCTAAATGGGAGCAGTGCAAACCTGAAGCACCTTTCCTGTCTTGAATATTTGAACAATCCCTTGAGTGTCCTGGTTATTCACACATCTGCTTAAAGGACTTGACTTATGAGGAGTTATTTAGCACAGGACAAGTACGTTTTTGCCTTGTTACAGCACTGCTGAAAGACACTCTATTTCTTCAGTTTCTTTAACTAGGCTGATTAAATTCAAACCATTTAGGAGATGGCTTCTAAGTTTCTGTGCTGCTTAATAGTCGCTCTGTGCTTTTAGCTCGTTGGCTCATATTTATGAATTTAGTGAGAAACTTGATATCAGAATGCATAAAGGCACTTCATGCTTTTCACAAACTCAGCCAAATTCTTTTGTCTTAATTTTTCAGCTCCAGTGCGCTTTCAGGTTTATTGTAAGTCCCTGTGAAATGACACTGAGCTTGCACTGAGGTGTAAGCTTTACTGAACTAGCATTGCATGAAGGCAGTGCTCCTAATTTGGTGTGAGACCCCACTGCGTCCTAAAGGTTGTAGTTATGAAATGAGGACTTGGAAAGGTCATAAACCTACTGGTAATAAATACAATTAAAAATGTACATAGAGCAATGGATTTAAGTACATTCCTATCAAAAAGAATTATTAATGAACAGAAAGTGGACAGCATAGATCTGATGGCAGGAAGGTTGCATCTAATCTGAATTACTGAGTGACCTAGGAAGCCTGCTTGGAGGGATTACCAAATAATTATGTTAATATGCAATTATCACCTCAATTCTTCTGTAGTAACCTGAAGATGTAGTGTAGTAAGGGTGTTATAGCAAGTGCTGATAGTTTGCAAAAATACTGATGTTCAAGATTTTTTAAGACAATAAGATTAGCTTAAGGCATTTAAATTATGATCTGTCAGCTTGAAGATAGATCTGACCTTACACTTTTAATGCTTAGACTGTCTGGCCACAGGCAGTCATATCTGCAGAACACATTATGATTTTTAAAACTGATACTTTATAAATAAAAACAGTATTTAAAATTAGGTAGATTTTGAATCAATTAATAGTGGAGTGTGGCTTAGCTGAATAAATAATTGGTTTCTTTCTACTTTTGAATATTAAGTAATTTCTGTATAGTAAATAACATAGCACGTAAACCAAGAATAACGCTGTTAAGTGCATTGCAGTTGTTCTAGGCTTAACTGAAATAATTGAATTGAACTGAATAATTGAATTTAAATAATTGAATTCGACCTAGCCTTTAGATGAAGTGTTTTTCAAAGGTAGGAGCTGGAATTGTGTACACTTGTGTAGGCTTTTCCAGACATTTTCCATCACCGTTTTTACATGTATATATCTCCTAGGTATATTGCACTAGATCCTTAAATAAAAATTACCTCAACCATCTAGTTGAGGTAATATAGTCCTGGTAGTGGATATGATAAACAGTACTTTCAACAAATTGAAAGTTTAATCTCAATTTTTAATTTTTCAAATACACCAAGTATTAAATGCTATATATTTTGACAGAATTAATAATTTTGTATTCCTGATATGGTATAGAGAAGATTATTTTAAAACTCTTGATGGAAGCATGCAAAGTTCATTGCATAGCCTTGGTTATATCTTAGTTACAATGATTGATTTTTCTTTTTTTCCCCAAGAGACAAGTTAGATGATAGCATTTCCTAAAAAAACATGGCATTATGTCTTTAGTTATGCCTGTCATTGTTACTGCATAAATTCTGACACGTGGAGTAGATAATGTAACTGAATTACTGCATCTTGGTTCAGTGTTACCACAAGACTAAATTATTGCAGTTTAAAAATACATTTTCTGTTTTCTCTACTGCCACACTGTTAAAGCCGTTAACTTTATTGTTGTTGTCCTGCACAAAAAAGTAGTGAATTGTACCAACTTGATAGCTGGAAAAGTAATGACACATGATGATAAGAATAAAAGTGATAATTAGCTGAAAAAATATTAAAACATAGCAGTGATGTTATTGATACAGTAAGCATTTCAGGCTTGATTCAAAGACTGAAATCTGTGGGGATACCTGCTTTACCATAGAAGACTTGTAATCATACCCATATGGAATGGTTCCCCGTCTCCGTAAATACGCAGTATGGAGAGGAGTCTCTTACAAGATTGCATTAGGTAATGCTTTAGATACCTGATGTCTCTGAAGAGAATTTCAGTTTAATGGTGACCACAGGGTGTCTTAGCCACTTTCTTAACTTCAGCTTTAATACTAATATTCATTAGCATTATGATTTTGTACGTAGAGCAATATAATTTTGCCTTCACCTTGTAAACCTGTGTGAAGTTTTGAGGAGCCATTCTGATAATGAGGATTGCAGTCTCCAAGCAGCACAATATTCTCAGTCTGCCTCCCCGCTGTTCGGGGGTACCAGTGAAGTTGCTTTAAATGGGGAAGCGTCTGTTCTTCCTCTGAACCCCTCACACCAGAACAGATGGGTGGAACTTGGAACATGGAAGGTTTTACCTCAGAGGTGGTAACAGTGAAGCCACTCATTAACACTGAATTTATCACTTCGTTAGCAACGTTGCTTCCTGTTGAGAAAAGCTAATACAGGCTCTCGGATTGACTGAGCACGCTTTTGTCTGCTTCTGCAGCAGTAAACCAAGGAAAATGCGCATCTTCCAGGCAAAATTGTCTTACTCAATTTCTTACCAAGGTTTTGTGACCAGTTTTATACTTTGCTGCCTGATACTGTATGAAGCCTACGGTTTTGAGTTGTAAAATTGCTGGAGCTGTTGTGCATCATTGTAGGCTTCACTTCTTTTAATTGACTTCTGCATTACTGATTCTTGGCGCATGTTTGCACTGCCCATTTCTAACGTCTGTAGGTGATGTAAAGACTCCTGCTGGGTGGTGCATTATCACCATTTTAGGGTGATAGCTTTGGATGTGATCTTATTGGAAGTCGTTATTACAGTGAAAAATGACCCATCTCAAAACAGCAAAGAGAAGCAAAAATCTAAGAAATGGCAAGATGAGGAACTGGGTGTCTAGTAGAACATTATGTAAAGGTATGTTATAGATAATAATACAATAAAATATTTCACATACTTTAAGCATTTATTATGGCTCTGATGTGAGCATTTCTAAATTGACTAGTTCAGTGATGGAGTAGCAAAGGAAATATTTTTTACATTACTGAATTTTTCATTGTATTTCTCCTCCAAATAGAATGACTTTATCTGCAAAAGTAAGTTATCTGACATTAGGGTTTGTTTTTTACAAACTCAGAGAGGTTAAATAATTGTTTTGTCCTTTTGCTGATTTGAAACAAAACAGGTGTAATAAAAGAGAATTTCTGTGAAGCTGTAGTTAGCTTTGAATTGTGTGAATAACTGTCATTCTGCTGAGTTTAAAATACTGGACATATTTTAAAACATTATGTATGAAGATGAAACTGGTGTTGTTTAACTAGGCTGTTTTCTCTCCTTAGGAAAAAAGGATGTCCAAAGTGGTCTTCCTGGATTTCGATAAAGGACCATTGCAGGAGGCCATGGATATTAGTTGTGAGTTATAACATCTTAATTCAAAGAATCTAGGTAATAACTCCTTTTAACTGAGTTCCATTCAAAATGCTAATTAGTAACTGAAACTATGTGATTGCTGGAATCAAATCCCACAAAAGATCAAAGTGAGTAGTATTCTCTAAGGGTAAAATATATGATTTCTGCAAAATACAGATGTCCTGACTCCTAGATGAATGTTTTAATGCTGTATGCTCACTCTGTTCTGAGGACCTCTATAAAAAGTGAATGCCAGGGTAGACTGAAGTTTACATTCCTGTTGATCACACATTGATTTTCATGTGTAGGCAGCTCCTTTATGCTCACTAAGCATTGAATAGATGATTTGATGTATGAGTAAGAGTCACTTGTAGAAAGACAAGGCCACCCACGGGGAATTAATATGCAGTAGTTCTCTGTACTGGAAGATATTGTTAGTGTCATGTTCTGGATTCAACACGGTGACTTCATCTGGTAGGTAGATCCCAATGAAATGTTTTGTTCTTACAGTATTTTCCCCCCACCTTTGATAAGATGTTGATTAATTTGTTTATTGTTTAAAATATCCGTATAAGCAAATGGCATTTATTTGTTTTAAAGCAAGGAGAGTCCTTTTGTAAGAAGGGAATAGGAAGACATGTATTTTCCTCAGTGAGTTTGATCCTTAGCTGTGTCTTCTGTCACTAATCAGATGCTCAAAACCAGCTTCATTGTGTTTTTCCCTTCTGCAGGTTTCCATGTAGCATCAGGTCAGTTGTATGGAAGTACTTCCAAAAAAGTGCTACCTTGAGAAACATAAAGACTGTTTTAGATTCCTAAAGAATGTTTAACCACCCCTCCCCGAATTGCTAATAGATATCTAGGTAGCCTTCTTGTTTTTACTTCTGGAGAACAACTGAAGATAATCTGTATTTATGTACATATAGAATGTATTTGCTTTTCTTTTGACAATCTAATTTTCCTCATTTTGCTTGTGTGTAGGTGTCAGGCTTCTTTGAATGGGATATTTGGCAGTGACTAGTTTGCTGTATGGTTATTAATAGTGCAGCAAAAAAAAAAAATTTTTTTATTGCTTCATTGATTCACTATAAATATTGTGGATATCCTAAAGGAAAAGTAGATTTTTGACAAGTTCAAAACATCTTTTTAGATTACAGTATGAAGAGTGATCCTGAAGAAAGCTGTAAATTAAAGTCATTATTTCTGCAATTGCCTGATTTTTTCTTGTTTGTTTTTTAGTATAAATGTACTTAATGGACAGACCAGCAATATGGGTGATTTAGAGACAAATACTGGAGTCACTGGTGCTAAAGAAGAAGAAATCCTGTGTGATGATAATTTTGTATCTGAGGAAGAAGGTGGCATTCCCAAACCAGAAGAGAGTGACACATCATTTCAGAACAACACTTTGACTCTGACTGAGGAGCTATCAAGGGACAGATCTGAAAAAGCCTTAAGTGGAGGCCAGGCTTCTCTATTTATACACACTGGTGCTCCTACTGTTTCTAGTGAAAACTTTATGTTGTCTAGAGGAACTGCTGTTAATGGACCAGTTTCACACTCCACCTCAACAAAGACTTCCATTATGAATAAAGGCAGCGTTTCATTAACCACTGGACAGCCTGGAGGTCATCTCTCAGATTCCTGCTCAACTTTGACAGTGGTTCATGATCTTCAGCTGCCCGCCAAGAGTACAACACAGAAATCCAATCAGCACCAAGTTTTATTTTTGTTACCTGATGTAGCACATGCTAAGAACCTGACTCATTCCATTAAAAATCTACCTACCTCTGCTTCAGTTGGTTGTGATTCACAGAAAACAGTAGGAAATAGTGTAGACAGCACTTTAGTAGACCAAGTAGAAGTTTGTGAAGATGATAAAAATTTACTAGTAAAAGATGATTGTGTCGATACATTAACAAGCATTTCCTCAGGTACAGGTGGCTTCAGATCGGGATGTGATCCCAGCTGGGATCCACAGAAAGAGTTTATACAGTTTCTTATGACTAATGAAGAAACAATAGAGAAGTCTCCCATTCACTGTAAGGTAGGGCTAGAAAAGAAGCGAAAAAGGAAAATGGATGTTAGTAAAATAACACGCTATACCGAAGACTGTTTTGATGATACCAGTTGTATTCCTAGTAAATCAAAACTATTAAATGTTGAATTCTTAGAGCAGAATGAGGAGCTACAAATAGTAGAACCACAGAAATATTCTTTGAGTAAAGTAAAGCCTGAATCTACAGATGAAGAGCTGGAAACTGTTGATGGTATCCAGCAGCTCATTTATAGTCCCACTAGTAACTGTGCAGAAGATACTTCTCCTGTTCACACTAGCACTTTTCTATCCAATACTTTGAAAAACAAATGTGAAGAGAATGATTCTGAACCACCATCTACTTTCAGTACTGATGAACCATCATTTTATCCCTGTACAAAGTGCAATGTGAATTTTAGAGAGAAGAAACATCTGCATAGGCATATGATGTACCATTTAGATGGGAACAGTCATTTCCGACACCTCAATGTCCCCAGGCCCTATGCCTGTAGGGAATGCGGAAGGACATTTCGAGATCGTAATTCACTTCTTAAACATATGATAATTCACCAGGAAAGAAGGCAGAAATTGATGGAAGAAATCCGTGAGCTGAAAGAACTTCAGGATGAGGGTAGGAGTGCACGGTTACAATGCCCGCAGTGTGTATTTGGTACCAATTGTCCCAAAACGTTTGTGCAGCATGCAAAGACCCATGAAAAAGATAAAAGATATTACTGTTGTGAGGAATGCAATTTCATGGCTGTGACAGAAAATGAACTGGAGTGCCATCGAGGGATCGCTCATGGAGCAGTAGTCAAATGTTCAATTATTGGTAGCGACTTGTCCCAGAGAAAAAGTCAGAAAAAGGCATCCTTGAAAGATCCTTATTTAGGATCCTCAAGAAAGTCATCGACATATATGTGTAAGCTGTGTCCGTTTGCTACTTCAGCTAGAAGCATTTTAAAAAAACACATGGCATATTTGCATTCAGCATCATGCCTTGATCCCTTTGGTAGCCATCTTAGACTAGATAAAAGAAAAGGCAGTTTAATAGAAGAATCTTTAGATTTCCGTAGCAGGACAAAACAGTTGATCAAACATTCTTCTACTTTTCCAAAGAACTCTGCTTTAAAACAGGATGTAAAAAGATCATTTGGCTCTACTTCACAATCCAGTAACTTCGCAAAACTTCACAAGAGACCCTACAGGATACAGAAGGCTCGGAAAAGCGTTTCACAGTCATCTGTAAGTGTGTGCAATCTAAATTCTACAAACAAGAACTTTTTTACTAGAAATAGCATTGACCAAAAACGTAGATGTTTTCATCAAGCAGCAAAGCAGAAAGCTAGTGCCAAAAAAAGTAATTATTTATATAGACACAAATATGAAAACTACAGGATTATTAAAAAATCTAGTGACTCTTACCCTTTGCATTTAAAAAAGGAAGAGTCCAAATCTGTCAGTGCTTTACATTTATTTTCTTCATCAAGTAATAATTGTTTTGTCATGGATTCAAATAGCCTTGATTGCAAAAGGGCAGAAGGCTGTAAAGATCATAGGCATGTAGCTGTAAAGAGAGTGGTTAAAGAATCCAGGAGGGAAGGCTCTGTTACAGGAGATGATTTGGATTGCTATCCAGATTTTCTGCATAAAATGACTGTTGTTGTTTTACAGAAACTAAACTCTGCTGAAAAAAAAGACAGCTATGAAACGGAGGATGAAAGTTCATGGGATAATGTTGAACTATGTGATTACACTACACAGTCTGTGGAGGATGAATCTTACAGTGATATTAATCAGGAGCATGTAAACCTATTCCCCATATTCAAAGGTAAAATGGAAGATAATGAAGCTGGTGATAAATCTTCACTTGGTTATGAGCAGAATGATGGCTTTTATTTTGAGTATTACGAAGATGCTGAGGGTAGTAACTTCTTGCATGACTTGCATGATCCTCAGAATTTAGAAAATGTAGGATCAGCATTGCCAAAGCATAATTCAGTTTTCCACTGGACTGATTTGTCGCTTGAAAAGAAATCATGCCCATACTGTCCAGCAACCTTTGAAACAGGTGTTGGCTTGTCCAATCATGTCAGAGGACATCTTCACAGAGCTGGACTAAGCTATGAAGCCCGTCATGTTGTTTCACCAGAACAGATAGCAACAAGTGACAAAATGCAGCATTTTAAAAGAGCTGGAACAGGGACTCCAGTTAAACGTGTTAGAAAAGGTAAGATTTGTTTTTTTATTTGGGTACAAAGTTGGGTGGACAAAGGAATTTATTGAGCACTGAACAAGGCTTGCTTTAGCTTCTTGTAAAACCTCTCTTCTTGTGATTTGCAGTTGTCATGTTTAACTGTATATAATTGTCAAAAAACATTATAATTATTTTCTTTGTAGCGATTGAGAAATCTGAAACTTCCTCTGAGCATACATGTCAGCTCTGTGGTGGCTGGTTCGATACTAAAATTGGATTGTCTAATCATGTGCGAGGACACCTGAAAAGGCTTGGCAAAACCAAGTGGGACGCACACAAGTCTCCCATCTGTGTTCTGAATGAAATGATGCAAAATGAAGAGAAGTATGAAAAAATCCTAAAGGCTTTGAACAGTCGCCGTATTATTCCCAGACCATTTGTTGCTCAGAAATTTGCATCAAATGATGACTTTTTATCTCAGAATGTTATACCTCTTGAAGCATACCATAATGGCTTAAAGACTGAAGATATATCTGTGTCTGCATCGGAGGAAGAAGGGCTGAGTTTCCTAAATGAATGTGATGAAACAAAAGCAGTACTACATGATGAAAAAAGAAATCAGTCACTTACACTGATAGAACTCCTGAAAAACAAGAGGTTAGGAGAAGAAAGGAATCCTGATATTTCCCCTCAAAAGATTCATAATCAAACCGCAAGAAAGAGGTTTGTTCAGAAATGTGTTCTTCCATTAAATGAAGACAGTCCATTGATGTATCAGCCACAAAAAATGGACTTGACTATGCAGTCAGGTAAGAAGGTGTTTCTTGACAACATTTCCAAAGAATCATATCATTTGTAGAAAATGTACAAGTGCAGAGTATTTTATTTGGGATTCTGTTCATTTAATTCTTGTTCCATTTCCAGAGGACACTTGACTGCGAGAGGTAGCACAGCAAATTTTTTTTGACATGTTTTTCCTAAAGTGAAAAAACCCCTCAGCAGCACTGAAGGGTTTTTGCATGGAATATAGTTCCTGTTCTGCATATGACTGGGCTTGCACATTGAAAGTGGACACAAAGTGAGCCTCAGTAAGGAAGACAACACATCCTGCAGTAAACAAGTTGAAGTGTCCTTGCATATTTGGTAGACTAACAGTTCTGAAATGTTTGAGCTTGCAACCCTGATTTTGGGCATTGGAACAGCTGGTTTAGGAATACTGCATTTAAGTCTTCAAGGTTTGTGCAAGGCAGCATTTGCTCAAACTAACAGAACTGTTGATACCATTATAAATGCATAATGCTTCAGATTGGTGAATCACTGTCAACTAATTTTGATGGTTTTAGGCAAACATACTCTTACAACATAGATTAATTCTTGTTTGTTGCAAATTGTGGCTGCTGTGAGAAACTCATGCTTGCTTAGGGCCTGACTGTCCTGAGAGACAACCTGTGCTGGTTCAAGCTTTGTTGGCATACAGTTGTAGCCAGCAGGTTTCCAATGCACGGCCTCTGACCAATAAGGACCTAGATTGTCCCTCCACTGAGAATTGTGCTAATGAAACAATTCTGCAATCAACTTCCTAGCTACTCTGTATACTAATAGAGCAGGCTTTTAGGGTGATGTTTTTAACTTACTTGTCACATGAGAATTATTTCTACTCTTGGGGATCTCTTACAACATCCTTTTTAATGTGTATGTAGAGCTTGCATTTACTGGTTTCTTGGTTGGACACCACCAATGCTACAGGATTCTCAAGACTGGAGAGCAGGATCTTATTTTTATACCCCTGACTTTTTTTTGTGCTGTTTCTTTTCTTGTTATTAAGCAGGCTAGTAAAACTGGCAGTGCCTAGTACTTTTTCACCTGTATTCTTTTCTTTCTTTAAACAAAAAAACCCAACAATCTGATGTGCTCAGAAGTTCTTTTAGGGGCTATAAAAGTGTGGCAATAAATCTCTTAAGAAGGGTGGCTTTCTAAAATGACATAGTAGAAGTGGAAAAGAATTACATTTTATGTCTTCTGTACGTCTGTGGTTGTCCCTTAAGACAGGAGATTGCTTAATAAAGGAAGTGTATCTTTGACAGGTTTAATGATTTGAAAAATAATGCTCAAGGAATAGCTTGCCAAACCTGACACTGTGTTTTACTTTCTGTATAATATTTACTGCTCAATACTAGGTAGAACCTGTTTGGTTATGATGAACAACAAGTAAAAATAAACATACGCTCGCATAGTACTAACAGTTCTGAATGGGGCCCGATAGTTTTCTGTGGCTGAGGTAACAGAATTTGATAACTAACGCACTGTGCCAGTTGAGTTAATAAGAAAATATTTAACATCAAGTTGAAAATCTTTTTTTTTCCTAAAAAAGGCAAATATTCCTAATTCTGGTTTTAGTTTTATAAAGGCTTTTACCAACCAAGTGTTCTTCTTCTGTAACTTGCCTGAAAAAACAGCATGTCTTCTGTGGGCTGCTGGAGAATAGCATTCTTTCTTTCCTGCAGAGACTTTACAGCTGAGTAGTTTTAGCTTTTTCATTTATTCTTCTAATAATTTATTAGTAGAGAACCTGAAATATTAGTTCACCAAAACAATATATCTTTGGTAAAATGCAGGGAGAAATATTGTGAAGTTGAGGAGGAGATAAGTTACAATGGTTTCTTGGTCTGTAAGTGAGGAGTTCAGCATTGTTTCATTGTTTTCGTGTGATAAATAGCTTGTTGCTTTGTTGATATTTATTTAGCACAAAGATTTTAGCAAAAAAACTTCAAATAATTTACTTTTGTTATCAGTTGTGCATCTAAAGTAATGAATAGAAAATGCACTGAACAAAATGTTTTGTCTAACAGCTGTTCAGTGGTGTGTTTTACCACCTTTTTCTCTGAGCCTTCAACAGCAGCCTAATTTTAGTATTGAGTGCTTTAGTCTTATGGGTAAAACACTTTTAATTACCACTTTGTCAACTTGACTTTTCAAATTCTCTTTATTGGAAATTCTGAAAGCTCTGAAATTTCTCAACAGAATTGTGCTATTCAAATTGCAGGATTGTATTTTGGAATTAGAGCTTCATTATGTGGAGATCTGTAGGAGCTTGGTAGTAGGTATTAAATGCAGAGTAGCCTACTGGGCTCAAGTTGCCTCCTTTCTGTTCTTTTTCAAATAACATGGTTTGGCTTAAAGCACTAGGTGGAAAACTAATAATGGGTAACTTGGATCCTTCTAATATACTAAACAATTGCATCAATGCAGTGAATATATTTTAAACCATCTTTATTGCAGAAAACTTTTTACAACGCTTTGAGAATTTCATTTTTTGAAGAGAGAACTGGATTATAGTTTTCTTTTGAATGATAGGTATGCCTGTGAAGCTTAGAACGTGTGTGCATTGCAATACGACGTTTACAAGTGCTGTTAGCCTGTCCAACCACTTACGCGCTTATGCACGAAAGAAGAGTGCTGGACTTTTGACTGGGACAGGTATGTTTTGTTACAGATGTAAAAGCAAGTCTGTCTATGATACATTTTCTTCATCAGACTGGACAAAAGCATATGTTAATTCAAAATAATTCTGAAGCTTCTGCCGGTAAACAATTTATTTGCCATAAAACTTCAGCAACCTGTAAGAAAACGTATGTTGCTGTTGTCCACTCTCGTGTCTGATTTTCATTCTTAGTCTTTGATTTTGGATCCAACATTTAAGGTATGTAAGCAAAACTAAGAGACGGTTGCTTAAATTCATTCTCTTATGATATTGCAACTTCCAAACCAGATAGCTGGCCTTCTAGTGAAGTGTTTTAAAGTATCTCAGAAGTGAGAGTGGTGGGGAGAAAAAAGGCAACGATACAACAAGTAGTTTTTACTGTCTAGTACATATAGTTACAAAGAATACTCCAGTAAAATAGGAAAAGCAAGTTATTTTACACTCTGTATATTTCTAACAACATATGATATGTAGTTGGTTTCATATCTGGTTTGGCTCACAACCCAAAAACTACCTGTTCTGACATTGAGTGAGGGTAGTACAGCATTTGGCACTGCTGTTAATGTTTTTTATTAAAAACACACTTCATTTTGAAATTCTTCTAATATGCCATATATTGATTTGTTTTCAGAGACCTGTAGCTTGCTTGGCTGTAGGCAGTTTCTGAGTTTACTTGGATTATTGCTGAGATTAATGGGACTTCACATGGTCAACAGCAAATTGAGGAGCAGAGATGCAATATAATGAGGAAAATTTGGAGATATGAAGCCTGAAATATTCTGTAATTAAGAAGGGCAACCATCAGTTTTCTGTGTCAATAAACACAGACTTTTACATAATGCACATGGAAAATGCGTAATCCTTTTTTGATCTGCAAATGTAATTCATTATGCGAAGAATGACAAACTGAGTAGCAGGCTTTCTCTGTAGAAGGCTAAAGTAATGTGTTTGTAATACAGGCCTGTGGCTGCCAGGTCTTCTGTTGCTTTACATTAGTGCTACAACAAAGAAGATTTGGAAGGAAGTCAGCAGATGTAGTAATACCTAACATGTAGGAAAATATGCCTTTAGTCAGTGATTCTGAAAATTTTCGTATTTATTCAGTAGAAAGGTGATGGTAGTGAACTTCATTTACCACTGCTGTGATTTGATATTATCCCTGTGGTAAGTTCCTTTTCTTATATACCTACTGAGGAAATATTTTTCAATAGCTATATATTTAAATTGCACATTAATAACTTAACAGGAAATAAATGAAGGAGGCACTGGCAGATACGATAGTACAGAGATTGCATCCTAGACAAGCACTTTGTACCTAGCTCCCCTCTTACTAAGTGGGAAAAGTAAAGGAAGCTGGTTTAGGTACTTTCAGGGATTTTTGTTTGTTTTCTGTAAGAAACGTATTTTGCTAGTGAGGTAGTTGCATAGTCATCAGAACAGGTGTCACTTTTCTTAAAGGAATGGAAAGAAAACTCATGAGTCTTCTATCATTGGACCTAGAAGTTGGTTTTGAATTAGGTTGGAAACAAAATGGGGTTAGAAACAAAGTTTAAATAAAAGGTTAGAAACAAAAGTTGGGGGGAAAAAAAATCTTTTGCTCTCAGAAGCTGGAGCTAAGCCAGATAAATAACTTTCACCATGGGTAAAGGCCCGTCACTGAAACCATTGACTTAAGGAGTCAATGTTGCGTTCTAGCTGTAACATTATGCCAATGTATATTTGTAGCAACTTTGTCATTACTGTGCTGCAACTCTGTGAAGGTTGTAAACTTTGCTCATTGACTTGTCACTCAAGCAAGCTTAATGCAAGGCTTGTACACCAAAAAATATGCTTTTAAACAGTTGTTCTATTTGATATTCCACTTTGTAATATAAGTTTTGTGAAGAGAATTATTTTAATGCAAGATCTCACTAGTACACACTAGTTTTAAGGTACACACAGGTACACTCTTGTTATGAGTGTTGCTCTTGAGTAGATCTCAGGTTTTCCTTATTAAAAGATGGTTGTGGTTGACAGCAATTTTGAGATGTCTTCAGTTGGGCCTCAGCCGCAGCTAAACCTTCGATGGTCTTCAGCCATTGTATGGAGACAATGAGGACATGTTTATACACGTTGCTTCTCATTTAGCCTTTCTTATATCTTCTAAAGCAAACATAACTACCCAAAATAAAACATATCAGTTGAATAATTATCTCAGTTTCTTGCTGTAATAAAATAATAGTGTCTGAACATGAATGCTGTAATTCTTTTATCTGGCAGTTGTTATGGGACCTGTCTAGGCACTACTATTTATTAGGAAAAATAACATGAGAAATATGAGATCCCTGCATGCCAACAAAGTGACACCTTTCCAAGCATTACATTAGCTTATGTACTAGTCTCAGATTTTCCGTTTGTCTGCACGTGTTTTTGATATTGACTGTTATCATATTGCTCTTCTAGCAGACATCCTGCTTCTTCAGTCAGTAATGTCATCATATTTAGTTAAATCTTAGCCTGTTTTTCTTTTCAAGTGCAACTTGACAGTTTTAATAGTATAATAGACATAGTTAAGCATAACGGTAGCTTTGGAGAATAGACTCAAGAAAAACATCCTAGAAGTGAAAGTTCCTAGGTTGTTGGCTGTTTGAGGTTAATCTTTATTAAACTTTATTGGTGCCTATACTAATGCGTTATAGATCCACTGTAGAGCAAGTACTCGTGTCTTCAGATGTCTGGCTGGAACTTTTTTTGTTATTATTCCACTTTGTTATTAGTCCACTTTTTAACAACTTAATCGCTCATCTTGATTAGATGTTAATTTCCTTTTATACCTGTTTTTAGATGTTAATTTCCTTTTATACCTGTTTTGATGTATAGCAACACATTGGTGTTTCTCAGAGCAGATGGTCAATTTGCTTCTTTCTTCTGAGTATCTTTAGAGCATTGACCAAACCAACACAAAATCTTCAAAATGCATCTCACTCTTCTTCGTGTAGTTGTATATTCAGCTTCCTTTCTTTTTTTCTCTCTGGGCTTCTCTTGCTTCCTCCTGCCCTGGCTCTCCCCAAGTCTCTTGATTCTTTCTTACACCCTGTCTTTTTACATCTTCTCTTTGTTGACCCTTTTCACACACTTAGTCTCTTCTTACTGGCTTTCATCTTCTGGGAATCACCACTTTCTTCTTTGGCCTCTGCTTCTGTAGATGGAGACTGCTTTGTCAGAAGTTTGGGAGGGAACAGTAAAGTACAGAGCAAGGAGTCTGGCCTTCAAGCCAACAGTGTGGCTGTGGTAGTGGTTCATGAGGGCCACTATGTGTTCAAATAATTTCAAATGTTGTTTTGTCAAACTTGTAGCTCTGGGACGGTTGCGGTGGAAGCATATCAAACATGCAGGAATCTGAGATCCTCTGGCTTTGTATGTCATTGTTCTGTGCTGTTACAGTCATAACAAATCAGCTGGCATGATGAGCTCATTTTCAGCATCTTACAAAATCCTACAGAGAGCAAATGATAGGAGGGCTTTATTCAATGTACTTCACTGCGCAGTAGTGATGAGGAGAGATAGTAAGTGATTGAATTTGAAAAAATTATTGACTAAATGTACAAGAAAGTTCATTATTTTTTACTTGACAGTGTTTTCAAATGGTTAATTAGTTCCATTTCTATGTCCAATTATTCAACTTGTTTTAGCTTATGTACACTTTGACAAAAGTAATGAAGTCCAAATAAAAGACCCAGCTTCAGTTTTCCTGAAATAAGAAGCATTTCATGTTGGGGGAGATCAGGAAGCAGAGCATTTTAATTTGGAACTGCAGACCACAAGTCATGGCATGAAAGGGCATCTAATTGTGACCTGTCTAATTCACATAGGCATGCTCATTGAAACCTCTATGTCCATCTGCTTGTAGTCCTTCTTGATAAGTCATCACAGAGGTTTTTGTATGCAGTGTTTTTACCTAGCATATATTTTTTGAAGTAGTGTGCTCTGAAGTTGTACATAAGTATCTCAAGCAGAATCCTCCGAAGTTTGATAGTCTTTTGTTTTAAATGGGTTGTTTCTCATCATGTTGTATCAGCAGTTTGAGGATGTTGTGTGACTGGTTGTTTACAAGAAGTTTTTCAGTTATCAACTAGGAAACACCAGGTGGCCAAACTTGAAAGAAAGAGAGTTCTTCCAAAAAGAAGTGGGTCTTTATGGAGAATGAGGAATGATAGTTTGGAAGCTGTTATAACTACAAAGTAGCTGTTAATGATCAGTAGTTCCTACCTCTCTCTAGCAATTTGCTGCAGTTTCCATGCAGCTTCCTGGAGCTAAACTAACCTTGGTCTCTTCCCAGACATGATAAAAGACTTTTTGAGGAGGTCATGTTTTGTTACAGTAAAGGCATAGAAAAAGCAGGAACTGAGTTTTGGTCAGAACATGGCTGCTTTATGGGGAGGCAGTGGCTGAGGCAATTGTGTGATTTAGTTGATGTTTGCAACCACTTGTAAGCATTCTATCAACAGAGTACTCAAGTGTGTGCATGTGACTTTATTTAAACTTGTTCTCTGGATAGACAAAATGAAATTAATGTGATGGTTACTGGTACGCATGCCTCATAACTGCTGTTTGAATTGTAGTTTTCAATGAGCTTTACTCAGATATTCCTCCTTCTTCACTCACTTTCCATCTTCACTGGAGTAACTTCAAAACATACTGGTGCGGTTTTGAGCTCCCTAAAATGTGAAAGAATATGTTCATTATCTCAGAACACAAAGGGAACAAAAAAATTACCCTTGCAGAACACCTGCAAATACCCTTGCAGGATTTGTGTTCTTAGTGTTTTCTGTCTTTTATAACAGCTTAACAGCTTCTTGCTTGGGCAAATCTACTTTCAAATTTAGCTAAGCTGCTCTGAGAATTCGTAGTGTAATCTGAGTCCTTTTTTGTGGTCTTTTACTGTGGTATTTTCTTCTCTTTGTTTTATAATTTCCTTATGTGGTGCCTCCATCATAAATGGCTGAGAGAACATGCCCTTCCTTTTGTTTTCCTTGTTTTCTCACTGTTCATGGAAAAGGTACCTTTCGAGGAAGTACAAACTACCTTTCCTGGTTAATTATGGCAATTTCTGTCAGTGTTGCTGTTGTTTGATTGCACAGTAGTTCAGAGGGGTTTTTTTCTCAGAAAATTATACACACACACACACACACAAACCCATTAGGTGTCAGCAGTCTGTTGCAGAAGACCAATCCAGGTCTTATAGGAAAGCGAAGGCTCTCTGAAATGCTCCAGATGCGTGTGAGTAGAATCAAATTTTTTCATGAGAATTAATGTCTTTGCCAACGTCAAGGAAATCAGCAAGTTCTTGTTCCAAATGCAGGTTGGCCTCTCTAGCAGGAGTCTGTTGTCACTACTGCTTCTTTTTTTTTCCACTCATATAAAATTACATCAACTGACTTGTCATCAGATGCAACTCACGGGCACGTTTGCATTCGGGTATTACTGACTTCTGTTTCCCTTCTTCCCACGATGTTCCACAAATGGAAAAGGCAAAGCTTTTGCTGTAGTAAGTGCTGCAGATAAGTTGCGCCTCATACAAACAGTTCTCTTCAAAGCATGGGTGTCTGGGTTCCAGTACTTTATCTGCTTACATTGCTGCTGGTGTTACTGAAGTTGCGGTATGTAAAACACTTATATATGTGGTAGTTCCTACCTGATACGATAGTTAGCTTTTTTTCTTCCTAATTAAATGAAGAATATGTTTCTTGTGAGAGAATGAAGTATTAAGGACCCCTTGATGCTTTTCCAGAAGCATCTTGACCATTTCTCTCTCTCTCCCCCCTTCCACCTTGCATTACTGCTTTTTTATCCAGACTGGTTTTGTTGTTGCTGTCAGAAAAAAATGCTGTTAAGCGTCATTTTCCTAATGTTGATCTGAAGAAGTCTCTCTAGGTTGGTGTCTGCTTTCCAGTTATGATATTGGTCCTCCTTCAAACCTCAGAAATTCATTCTAAATTTTAGATAGGTAGGAATCTTTAAGTCCTGGGATAGAACTGGAAAACATCTGGTATTTCTACCAAGTTGAAAGTTGGGGTACAAGATAAAAGCTTGAGATATGTTCATTTCGAGGGCATGATTAAAATTAAGGATACAATCAAGACTGTGTGTTCTTTAAATCAACATGTTTTACCTCACCAGACAATGTCTCATGCTTCAGAATGCTAAGAGGTTAATTCTCCTGTTTCATATTCTAGGAGTCAAAACTTTAGCCAAATGTAACAATTTTTTTTTCCATTTTACTGTTAAGATGCTTCAGTAGCATAGCATTATGCCTTCTTGGTAAGAATACCACCTGGTACTGTCTGGTTTCTGTGGAGTTTTTGTTCAAGTGGTATAACTGGTTGTTTGCAAAAGTTTTTGTGTTGGAGTTATATTGTTGGTGTCTTGTGTTTTGGAATAGAGTGTAGCTAGATACACTTCTCAGTTCAAACAGTCACAAACTTCTTGAGCTTTATCAGCTGTTTGTATCATAACAATATTAATTCAGTTTAATCCACTCATCCCCCACTTTGACTGCTTCTTAGAATCTCCAGGTTTTGTTTCCGATTCCCATTACATTTGTTTATGGGAGATACAGACCTCAGAGCTGTCTGAACTCCTTTGCTATATGTTTCCTGTTCACACACGTTAATTTCATACACAGTTTCAAATGCTTAGACTGAATTTGAAAAGTGGTCTTGCCATCCTTGTTGGTTGTCCTAATACCAGCTCCCACTGCCAAGGACTAATAAATACATGGTTTCTGTAAGCTTCATTAGAATTCAGACAGGAGTGAAGGGGAAGCTTCATTTGAAACTCTTAGAACAAAAGGACAATTTTTTGCTTGTGTTGAAAACAAATGGCAGGTGTTTTATTCAAACTAGAAATTCCTGATTGTACTAGCTGAAAGATACAACTTCATAAAATTGTAACTTGGTTGAACATGAATGGTCTTATGATGGTACTTGAACTACAAAACAAGTTCTGAGATTTTGACAGGGTTATGTGCATGAAAGGGAATTTCCAGTGGTGCTTTGCTTATGTATAATTCTGCAATAGGTTTGTAGGTGCTTGCTGATACTAAAACAACAGTTTAATGCTGAATGACAATTATCTAGTCTTTCAAAGAGCAAGCACAATGCTAACCTAAAAAACCCAGCTTCATGTGTTCTACCAGCATATTTTTTAGAATATGCTATAATTGTTTTGTATTTACGTTACAATTAAATACAGATAAACAAGGAGGTAGATGTCTTTTCATTATTGCTATAGGGAATACTTGCTGAATATCTCTGTTTGACTAACACTCATTGAAGTATTACTTTCACATATGAAAATTTCTCTTCTTAGCTTTAGACTGTAAACAAAAGAAGTCAAGGTCAAGATCTGGAAGCAAGAAGAAAATGCTGCCGTTACCTCATAGTGCTGATGAAGTTTACATACTCAGATGCAGGTACACAGTGTTACTTTGGTTGGAAGAATACATTCTTAGGAGCTTACTAATGTCAGTCATAAAGAGATTCATTATTGTATCCATAAATGTTTGTGATTAAATTGAATAATGAGGGGGGAAACGAATTGCCTCTTTTCATTAATTTAAACAGGAGGATTTGATTCAGTCACACTTGGGTGTTAGATTGCCAGTTGTTTCTCTAACTAAAATCATAGTGGTTGTGTCTGAGTAATATTCTGTCCTTCAAAAGAAACCTTATATAAGAACAACAGATTGTTATTGCTGGCACTGAAAGTGTGAGAATGTGAGTTGTATAAGCTGCAGGGTTTTGTGCTCACAGTTACTACTAATGAACTCAATTACTAAGTTTTTCAGCTAAGACATTGAGAAACAAACTTAAAGAAAATTAAGACTTTCCTCTTACTGTCTTTGTTTTATATTTTTTCAGTAGAGATAGATGTATCTTGATGAATTAATTTTAATATTTGCATAGGTTTTGTGGTCTGGTCTTTCGAGGACCTTTGTCTGTTCAAGAAGACTGGATAAAGCACTTGCAGCGACACATTGTCAACGCAAATCTTCCACGGACTGGAGCTGGCATGGTTGAGGTCACATCACTACTTAAAAAGCCTGCTTCAATTACTGAAACTTCATTTTCTTTACTGATGGCAGAAGCAGCATCATAGAACACGGAAACATTTTAAATTTTGATTGGATGTAAATTTGAAATACTTCATTTTTTAAAATAAATGGCTACACTAAATTATGTTTATAAATGCTAAAGATGGAAAATAGAGGAAGTGGATTACAGTAACATCAAAATAAATTGAATACTTAACAGTTACAGTAAGTAGTCTTTATATTTTATATAGGGTGGAAGATGTGTTTTTAAGGTTTATTATGTTTTTGTCAGTTACTGTGTTCACTATCAATACAAGACCATTATATGTATGGCAGCCATTTTTAAATTGTTGCACATGGGTACTTAAAGGACAGATTTTAATAAAACAAAGAAACCACGTTCTCTTCAGTGTTACCCAAATCAAGGTTCTGTTTATTCCAAAAAGAATTACATAGTAAAATAAGATACTATTATATTTTGTTTGTATGTATGTAGTGTTTTGTATAATATCAAGAACTGCTAATACAATTTACTCAACTTAGGGCATTAAATACCATGTACTTCATAGTTCAAGAGACTGTTTCGTTCAAATAGGGCAATTAGTACTATTCTATCTAGGTGTGTAAGTGTTTTTTTTTAATCACATGAGGCTTTTTGTACTAAAAAGTGGAGGGAAACTTGTTTAAACAAATTTCTAATAGAAATATGTACATAATACTGGAAATTTGTGGTAAGGAAATATTCTTTACTTCAGTTGCATTTCTCACTGACAATAAAGTGGTGCATCCATGCTACCTCCTACTTGTCAACAAAGATGGTATTTACCCTTATGTTTTTGTATCATAGTAGATTCAATCCAACTTTCTTTATTACAAAGCATCTTTTTGTTAACAAGTTTGTTACTTTTATGACAATTTACTTAAAGTCTGACTTGCTTACAGAAGTTTGCCTCTACTATTTTATTTAACACTGTAGAAATGTACTAATAAGCATTGCTCACTACACGGTTAGAGTAGGCTTTTCATTTATAATTCTGTTTAAAAGATTGATCATTTTAGAAAATTCAAACACAGATTGAAATGTTTCCACATATGAAGAGAATGTTTACAACTTAAATTTTAGAGCTTGTTTTGGATGTGATTATATGTATGAAAACTGTAACACTATGCTCATGCTAAGGACCTACTTACAGAATTATTGAAATAAATGTGCTGTGAGGATGGAAATATGGTGCAGGTGTCTTGGTCATGATGAATTGTGTTTGTTCATTTAAACTGTCTTCAGAACATGATTTTTGTTTTAATCAAATTAGATTCCTCTACAAATCAATTTTGTATGCAAGTAACATTTCATTTTACTCATATAGGGTAACAGATACTGTAGTTAAGCCAAGGATATGCATTGATATTTTCTTTATATGTAAATAAAGTTAAAAGCAGTTAAAGCAAGAGGAGTATTTTGGTAGAGTATATACATACCTCACTGCCAGTGAAATTGCTTTCCTATGGTATATCTCCTTACCAGAAAAATCTCTAAATAAAAAGGTTTAAAGAAAATCTAAATGTCTATAATGTGAAGCATTTATTTGCATTGTGTGAATTAAGTTTGTGGAATTGATTTGTCTTGCTTGAGATTAGAATCTTCTCATGATCTTAAGTACATTTACTTGCAATAAACTGAATTGTTCACAGATGCATTACATTTGATTGGTGGAAAGTATGAATAAATGTCTGTCTTCCTGGATGCACAGAGTTCAGAGTTAACACATGAGGCTTGTTAATGTTCTGATAGAATGGATGGGCTAAAAATGCACGTCTGTGCAAGACAGAGGCCTCAGACAAGGCCATGCTAGCTCTGTCAAGGCTGTCATTAAATTAGTGGTGTCAGGTGTTTAACTGTACAAATTGCTACAGTTAAGTTTAGCTTTCTTGTTGAAATTTATTCTCTTGTAAGTGGAAAATCTACATCATTACATTTAAAGGCTGGAGGAATAAATACTTTAGAGATTTTAGAAAAGATAACTGGGATGTTGAAGTGTATTGCAGACAAATCATGTATGCAGACTAAGAAGTTTCTGAATTTGTGGATACTTGTGGAACTTTTTTATACGATGTGAAAACTGAAGATTTAAAGCAGTGTGTTGAAACAGAATAGAGGGAAGTGATCACATCACCTTGAATGTTTATAATGCTTTAATAGAGTGCTTGTTTACCCTTCTCACCAAAAAAGGTGCTTGTGAGAGCACCATACTTTATGGCTGTTAAGCAAATGAAAAAATCAATTAAGTGCAAATGATATTTATCTAGTGTTGTTAAGAATGCTTGTAAGGTGAAGCCATACCGTGCAGAATTTTGCATTAGCAAAAGACTTACTAGATTCATAAAAATAATTTTTAAAACCCTAGCTAATTCTATTTAATTAATTAAGCCCCAATTGTGAGCTGCTTTATGTAATACTAAAATAAAAATGCAAGGTTGTGTCTGAAGAGCAGTGAGCTCTAGGGCTGATCAGTTTCCAAAATGAGATTCTATTGATGAAGAACAGTTTTCAGTGACAGGCTGTGTGCCCTGCTGGCCTTGTGGTATAGTTCAAAAAATATGTAGGAGTTCTAGAACTCTTCTGACTATTAAATTAATTGTATATGTGGTTGATACAGGCTGAATAATCTTTAAAAAAAAAAAAAGAGTACTATTAGCTGTCCTTAGCCTCTAGTCCTCAAGTGGGGCTATTTGTTTTCCTGGTTTCTGTTGTGTGGAAATACAGATATTTTTTATCATTATCTACAAATCCCCCTCTCTGGAGGTTCCAAAATTCTATGTAGTAGAAGAGGGTAAATGAAATCGGTCACTTAGTGATGGCAGTCTGATGGTATGTGGCTTGAGGGGCTCTGGTGGTCTGTGCTAAAGGGCTGGACTTCGGGAGCTGCTCATCTCGACACCAGTGTCAGTCTGTTCAGCTTGGCTTGGGCTGCTCTGGGGTAAAGGCTGCAGTGGCACAGTGATTTCTGTTGGGTTGATTTTGGTTCTTTATCATAATCCTACTTGTTTCTGAAGTTATCCTAGATTCTGGTAAAGGTCTCTTTAGTAGTAGCCTCAGGAAAATTGTAGAAGACCACCCCCCATACACTTTTCATAAGATGATGGCCTATATTCCCTAGTCCCGATGATATTTCTGAATCCTCTTCAGATATAAAACTGCTTGCATTCCCTGAAAAGATGTTTCTGCAGAGCTTTGGGTAGGTGATGACAGTGCCCGCGGGAGCTGCTGCCAAGGGGTGGTGTGTTCAGCCATGGAAAACGAAGGCGAGCAGACAGCACATGCTGGGCATCTACTGCGGTTTGCCCGGTCCTGCTTCCTGTGGCCTGGGGGAGCTGTATGAGGTGGGCTGCTCCCAGGGGCTGGGGGGTCCAGCTTCCTCCTCAGGGCCCGCCTTGAGGCAGCAGTGTCAGGAGGTGGGTGCTGGTCCCTCCCGCTGAGGAAGGACCGACCGTAGCTGTTGGGAGGGGAGCGAGCGCGGCCGTGCCGAGGGCAGGGACAGGCGGGTTGGGTTTGAGCTGTGAGCCTGCGCTAATTCCCACTGCCTCAGCCATGCTCAGGGAAATCGCCAAGCTTTTTGAGGTAAGTGATCGCGGTAGAAACGCGAGTTACCAGTTGGGGCTCAGAGAAGAGCATGCGGAGTTTCCAAAGGTCAGTGTCACAGGACTGAGATGGGAAGGTGCAATGTTATTTTGACTGATGCTTTTCCTGGGCTAGTTACGGTTCTAGGTTTCCTGCAGTGCTTTAAAGAGGGGTTATGCATTAAATCTACCTGATTCTGAAAACCTACAGAAGATAAATTGGGCTGAACAAATGTGGAAATATTAGCAGTGAATAACAAGGACTTGCTTTTAACTAAACGGTTATGGGCTGCGAACAAACCCTGTTTAGTTCAGCACTATGGTTAACAGACTTTTCCACTTTTTGTAACAGTAGTTAGTGGCCTGGATATTTAAACACCAGTCTCATATTTTAAAAATTGATTTATATAGTTTTGAGTTTGTTTAAAGAAAACCCCAAACTTTTTAGGGTGGTTCTTTCTTTAAAAATGCTGACTGCATTATGATTTGATATTTCAATCCACCGTGCTTTGTAGGTGCTGTTGCCTGATACATGGGTAGCAATTGTGATGTAATGGAAACATTTGGCCATAGTGCCAGGTTTGTAATCTCTTGCAATAAAATGTTCCTTTCTAACACTGCA